TCCTGTCGGAGTTACTCATACTCAGACTTGCTCATGCCCAGACTTGCTCATACACAGACTTACTCATACTCAGATACTCTCATACTCAGATATACTCATACTCAGACCTACTCTTACTCAGACATACCCATACTCAGACTTACTCATACTCAGACATACGCATACTCAGGCATATTCATACTCAGACCTACTCATACTCACACTTACTCATACTCAGACTTATTCATACTCAGACATTCTCATACCCAGACGGACTCATACTCAGACTTACTCACACCCAGACATATCCATACTCAGACTTACTCATACTCAGACTTACTCATACCCAGGCGTACTCATACTCAGACTTACTCATAGTCTGAGACTTACTCAACACACAGCAGATTGTGAGGATGTCTCAGGCGGGGCGCTGGTTTCAGCACCCCTAAGGGGAACCGCCAGGGGTGGTTGCACGGGCTCGTTCGCGGCCATTTTGTGGGGATGTCTCAACGGTTTGCTTGTTTCTGGGCCCAACATCCTTCGCTTGGAAGCAATTGTGAGGATGTCTCAGGCGGGGCGCTGGTTTCAGCACCCCTAAGGGGAGCCGCCAGGGGTGGTTGCACGGGCTCGTTCGCGGCCATTTTGTGGGGATGTCTCAGGCGGTTTGCTTGTTTCTGGGCCCAACATCCTTCGCTTGGAGAGCAAATTGTGAGGATGTCTCAGGCGGGGCGCTGGTTTCAGCACCCCTAAGGGGAGCCGCCAGGGGTGGTTGCACGGGCTCGTTCGCGGCCATTTTGTGGGGATGTCTCAGGCGGTTTGCTTGTTTCTGGGCCCAACATCCTTCGCTTGGAGAGCAGATTGTGAGGATGTCTCAGGCGGGGCGCTGGTTTCAGCACCCCTAAGGGGAGCCGCCAGGGGTGGTTGCACGGGCTCGTTCGCGGCCATTTTGTGGGGATGTCTCAGGCGGTTTGCTTGTTTCTGGGCCCAACATCCTTCGCTTGGAGAGCAGATTGTGAGGATGTCTCAGGCGGGGCGCTGGTTTCAGCACCCCTAAGGGGAGCCGCCAGGGGTGGTTGCACGGGCTCGTTCGCGGCCATTTTGTGGGGATGTCTCAGGCGGTTTGCTTGTTTCTGGGCCCAACATCCTTCGCTTGGAGAGCAGATTGTGAGGATGTCTCAGGCGGGGCGCTGGTTTCAGCACCCCTAAGGGGAGCCGCCAGGGGTGGTTGCACGGGCTCGTTCGCGGCCATTTTGTGGGGATGTCTCAGGCGGTTTGCTTGTTTCTGGGCCCAACATCCTTCGCTTGGAGAGCAGATTGTGAGGATGTCTCAGGCGGGGCGCTGGTTTCAGCACCCCTAAGGGGAGCCGCCAGGGGTGGTTGCACGGGCTCGTTCGCGGCCATTTTGTGGGGATGTCTCAGGCGGTTTGCTTGTTTCTGGGCCCAACATCCTTCGCTTGGAGAGCAGATTGTGAGGATGTCTCAGGCGGGGCGCTGGTTCCAGCACCCCTAAGGGGAGCCGCCAGGGGTGGTTGCACGGGCTCGTTCGCGGCCATTTTGTGGGGATGTCTCAGGCGGTTTGCTTGTTTCTCGTGGCACGATCCTCCAACATGACATGCACTTATGGCCTTGTGTGGCTAAACGCTCGTCTTACATATCCCACTGCCAACTATCGTACAACATATGCACATGTGGGAAGCTCCAAAGCTACCACGGGCTGAAAAAAAGGGGAAGGCCTGGCAGCTGAGGAGGGGGGATGAAGAGGAAGAGGCTCGCATTCATCCATACTCAAAGCTCACTCTGACTCATACGCAATCGCTCGCATTAGGGGTCACTCGTCTTCGTCGGCCCTGTCGCCCACGTGGACGCGCTATTGTAGTCGACCGCTCATGAACAGACGCTCGCCACGGCATGACATAAAACATGAGATGCACATATGGGGAGCTCCACGCAGTGAGTAATGTTTTTGATAAGGGACGGCGGGGGTGTCAGCATATTCCTTGTTGCGCGCAGGGCTACCATCCCTGACAACAAAAAAAGGCAATACTGAATGCACCTCGCGTCTAAATCTGGATCATGCGCGGCCACCGCGCGATCACTGTCAAGTGGTGTTTGACTGGGGCGGGGGTGGTGTCGCGTGGCCGGCTGTGCGCATGCGCGCCAGACACAGTGATGGGCAGCGGTTTTCGACAAGGATGGTGGGGGGCGACATGTTTCCCGATCTGTGCTGTCACGTGCGCGTGCGCACCTGACGCACTCTGCACGTATCCGGAACGTGGCGCACCTGGCGCAGCCGGGGTGTGCGGCATACCAGGCGCAGTCGGGGCACGCGGCGCCTCTGGCGCACCAGGCGTGCCTGGCGTGCCTGGCACGCTCGGGCCTCAGGGGTGCATGGTGCGCGTGGCGCCCCTGGCACGCGTGGCGCACCTCGCCCAAGCGTCGCGCACCTGGGGTTGACTTCGGTTCCCATCAGTTCCCAATCCAAAGACGACCGCTGAACATGCTCAGGCTCGGGTGTTACTGATGTGTGGCGATGGCGGTCGGGAGTGAGCTAGACACCTTGCGGGCGGGTGGGTAGCTTGACCCGTCCCCTACCCCTCCCCTGGACCTGGACGGGGGGGTTGGCCGCGAAGTGTCAGAGGGCCCTTTTTCGCCCAAGATGGTTCCAAGAGGGCCTCAGAAAACCGAAGATAACTTCCGAGATCGCTCAAGATAGCTAACGACTTGCACCCAAAACGCCGCAAGAGGGCCACAAAACGGTTCCAGATGCCTTCAGACACCCCTCAGGACCTCCCCGAGTAGCCACAACCTATCAAAAACCTCAGGGGAATCAGCGATTGTTGCCTTCTCGCCTTCTCGCTCCCGACGCGTTTTTGTGGCGTCACGGTGGCCCCGAGACGGCCCAAGAGAGCTCCAAGAGGGGCGCAAAACGCCCCCAAGACGGCCCCAACACCGCCCGAGAGCGCCCCAAGAGAGGCCCGAGAGCGCCCCCGGAGGCCACTTTGATAAACCCAGAGGGGGGGCTAAACGTTAGGAGCCCCCCTGGCCCCCCTCTTTTCACCGACACCCACCACGACAGCCTCAAGAGGCCCTCCAGGGCTCCCACGAGGCCCCCCGGAACGCCCCGAGAGAGCCCCAATGGGGCCCCAAGAGGGCCCTAAAAGCGCCCCGAGACCCCCCAAAAGAGCGCCCCGGGACCCGCCTTGGGCCAAGGCGACTGTCGCACTGTATGATTCTTCTACGCTGCCCTCATCAAGACAACTCACCTGGCGATCATGTCTGGATGGGCTGGTGGGGATATTTTTTTGGGCATGCGGGCGCGGGCAATCAGAGGGGCTGGTGGGGATGCGTTTTTTGGCCCGCAGGCGCGCGGAACGAGTCGAACGCCGAGCATGCAGGGGCAGGCCGTGCCACTGGCAGAGGCTGGTGGGGATACTTTTTGTCGCGGCCGCAGGCGAGCGCGCCAGCGGCGTCAGAGGTCGGGCGGGCTGCGCGCGAACATAATTGCCTAGCGCACGGGGGCCGACGGTCGAACTTAAGCTGCCTAAGCTGCCTAAGCTGCCGGGCTGCGTGGGGTGGTGCCAGGAAGCGGGGCAGGGCCCGAAACCTTGCCGACGGGCGATGCGAATTGCAACCAGGAACAGGATCGGGGGGCAGTGCCGATGCACGAATTGAACCAAGGAGCTATACGCAGCCAAAATGGCGCGGCAAGATCACAGACCGCGAAGCTGACAAGTGACCGCTGAGGGCGTGTAGGACCCGACGTATGATAAACAACACGAGGGATCCATGCACACAGCCCCTGAAGGGGGCAGCTCGCTTGCAATACACTCCAGGAGGTAATACTGACACCGATGGCCAAGAATACGTCACTGACCAGGAACCAGTACGAGTGGCGCCACCGAAATCGCACACTCCTGAGAGAAAAGATCCGGGGCAATCCCCTTTCCGAGAACGAGAGGAAGAGCCAGCCAGGAAAACGATGGAAGGGATCGACACCGAAAACCTGAACGGATCGGCCACACGCCTGATGCTGCCAACCAGGAATACGATGGATAAGGTCGACATCGAACGCCTGTAGCTGGTGGGGATACGCGAAGCATCAAGAATTGGCACCATCCGCGAGAATTGGGTCGGCCTGGGCGCCGCCGGGGTCTCAAATTGAACTCGGGATACTCGCTTCCCCTCGGATCCGGACCTCCTCTCGAGCCGATGCGCCCGTTACCCCATCTCTCCTGGGGGGCGGGGCGCGCCAGCTTGCGAGTGGCTTCGTGGACCTCGATACACTTCACGAAGTCCTCGAACCTGGATGGCGCGGGGGGGAGGGCTAGTGTGGAGGACGGTGGAGAAAGAGGACCAGGAAGAGGACGCGAGGATGAAGGAGGACGACGACAACAGTGACTACTGACTGGGATATCGAAGAGGACTCGCGAAAACGCTAATGACGGGGAGGGAGAGGATGCGGACGACGAGGGTAAGCAACAGGAGGAGGAGGGAACAATGAGCAGGAGGACGAGGCGGAAAGAGCAGGAGGACGAGGAAGTTCTAGAGCAGGAGCAGAAACGGCAGGAGGATGGACGACGACCAGCAGGCGGGGGGCAGGAGGATGGACGACGACCAGCAGACGACCGTAGCCATTTTGGCTCAAACCATTTTGGCTCAAGGTCAAGGTCAAGGTCTCTGTCTCTGATCGTTCTTCCGCACCCTCCGGCCGCTACTCGAATTTGTGGGGAATCTACAAACTTTGAGGCATGCCAGCGCGATGGTCTTCTCAGCGCAGCAACGCCCGGTGGGGCGGTGGCGCTCGCGCAGGTGGCAGCTCTTCATGGTGCTGTTCGCTTTGTGGCACGCGGTCCTGGTCAACCTGCTCGCAGTGTCGGTGGTGCCAGGCCCCGAAAACGTACGTGCAAACAATGGCTGCGTGGCCTCCACTGCCACCGTCAGCACCCGGAACAGTGGTCGGACTCGCTGCGTCTACGGTTTCCACTCCTACCTCTCCAGCCTCTCCACCCCCGGCTGCACAGGCGCCGGCGATGGTCTACGTCGATGTGGACTCCGAACTCTCCCAGAAGAAGATCCGGGACCAGCTCAGCGCCCTCATGCAGTCCCAGGGACCGCTCGCGAGGATCAACAGCCCAGCACTGGCGGCCATCGACGTGCAGATCGCGGAGAAAAAGGCGTCCTTGTACGCGTCCCGACCGCCCAGCCAGCAGCCCGACGGTCTCTGGGCGGTGATCACTCGGGCGGAGAAGCGCCTCCAGCAGGCCCAGGAGGACATGCAGGCGGCTCAGGAGAAGATCGATGCGGAACAGGCCGCCTGGACGGCCTACAGGGCGGACCTGATGGAGTTGGAGACCGGCCTCACGAAGAACCCTTAATTACTCGGTGGACCAGCCGACGACCGAGGGAAGGCCCCTGAGGTGGCTGAAAGACCTTCTGATCGACCTCGCGCGGCAGATCCGGGAGGGAGCGGAGATGCCGAGGGATGATTTGGCGTCGGCACTGGAGGGTATGACACTCCCCCCGCCTGCCCCCATGCCGTCCGAGGCCCCAGAACCGGCGCCTCCGGCGCGGACATGCTGGACGACTCCGAGACCCCGCAGCTTGCCGCTGGGAGTTCGGGGCCACCGCGGAGAAAGCGCGGAAAGACCGCGGTGGAGACGCCCTGCCCTCAGGGGTTTCTCGTCCCCTCAATGGCCACGCCTGGGACGTGAGTGGCCGCGGCGTGCTCTATCCAAATGTGATCTTGCAATGCGCTCGCAGCTTTGGGCCGGGATTGGGGCCTCACGCAGACTTCAACTCAGTTCCTAGTGCAGTTAATCCTCCAGCCCAGGCGTGGGCAGAGCAGTTTTGCAATATCGTAGTTTGTTATTATAGCCATCTCAAGTCCTTAACTCAGAAATTTATCTGTCCGCAAGTGAGAACATCTTTGCATAACACTCCTGTTCATAGACATGGATCGGCTGCCGTCTTGTGCTTGGATTCTTTGGTCCTGCACAGTTCGTCGGAGACGTTCGTTTTCGATGTGTTGGCAACGGTTTTTGGCAAGCCGGGGACCACCCGCCGGCAAAATCACACGCCAACTGTGCAGCAGCCAAACGTCTGTCAATATCTCCCCCCACTCACTTCTGATTCCCCGCTGAGGGAACTGCAGCTTGAAGCTGGCCTCAACAGTTGTCCTGTTCATGCTTACCAGCAACTTGAATGCAAAGCTTCGAACACAGCGTTGTTTCGTCAATGATGTCGCCCTTAGGCCACGTTTTGTCCAGCACGCTCGAGGGAATCCGAATGTGCGAGGCCACTCATCGTGAATTGACAACCGCTCATTTGTTCGATGGGCGGCCCTTGGGAGGCATCCGCGTGTTCCTGGATGGTTCTGGGGGTGCGTCTGACGACAGCCAGCCCTCTCCAACAGACACGTCCCCTGTTTCTTCGTGGGGATGTTGTGTCATTGGTGAAGGTGTAGAGGGAGAGAGCGTGTACATCGGGGCTGTTTGCGATGTTGCTATTTTCGATCTGGCTCATGTGCATTTTCTCGGCGCTGAGCGCGATGAGACTTCCTTCTCTTTTGTTGCGGAGCTGTCCGCGATGACGTGGGCTTTAATATGGGCTGTCAAATGCAGAGATGTTTATGGAAGGGTCCCAATGTCTTTCGTCTATGATAACATGTCGGTGGCCAATGTCGCCTTCCAGTTTGGTGCGACTTCAATTCGACCACGGCTTGCGTCTGTCATGTCTAATAGTGCTTTACTTTTGGCATGCTTTGTTGAGTTCCACGGACATGTCCATTCGCACTGTGGGGACCCATGGAACGAATTAGCTGATTCGTTGTGTGAAGCGGCCGTGTTGGGGACTGCTGACCCGAGCATCGTGTGCAGTAGAGTGTTTGTCTCTTTCTCATTCCCTGCTGGGCTGCACACTCGTGATTGTGACTGGTTGTTCTCAGGTGGAGTGGACGATGAGCGGAGTTATGAGTAGCCGCAAGGGCTGCTCGAAACCGGGCGCATAAACTTGAGTGACCTTGTCATTGATCGTTTCGTGCAAGCCGAGGACATTGCGGCGCACATCGATGATTCGTGCATCCCGCCGGTGTGCGAAGTTCCTGCCACGTCTGTTACACTTCGATGATTCGATCATAACGCTCTCACGTTGCGGTCACATAGCAAGTTCGCTACTGCATTGTACCAGCTGGAACAGCAAAATTTCCACATCGGTGGGTTCCAAGAGTCACAGAGCAAACGGACAAGCAGAAAAATTGTTTATGAGAAGGTGAGTGGGCGCCCGGCAGTGGTTGTCCAGAATGCCGCCCTGCCATGCGGGTCGCTTGGTTGCTACATCGTTTTTGCATCTGATCGTCCGTTTCGCCCACGGGAAACGGAAAGTTTACGTCAAGGATGCCGATGTTGTGATCCACCATGCGGACCCTCGCGCCCTTGTTGTCGTCGTCACGACGGCGGTGTGCAGGCTCGTCGTGGCATCGTTACATGCCCCCCATCAAGGCAATCCAGAATGCCGGTCTTGGTGGGAAGCCGCTGGAGATTTGTTCCCGCCGTCATTGCAAAATGTGCCCACAATTGTTTACATAGATGCCAACACAACATTGCCAAGTGTGCGGTGTCATGTGACAAGCGTTGGGCGAGACAAACTCCCGTCCGATGCCATCCATGCCAATTTGTTTCACAAGTGGATGCATGATTGTGGTTTGACCTGCCCAGCTTCAGTACACGAGATGTGGGCTGATGGACACGCTAAGCCCACATTCATTGCTGGTGGCTGCCAGACTGTCAACGACTACGTGTTAATGTCAAATGAGGTTCATTGTGGTAGTGGGTCATACATGGTAGATGAAACGTATGACACGGCGAATTCAAGGGATGACCATCTTCCCGTGATGGTGAAAGACACGCTGATGCCGAACTTTTCGCGTTCCTTCGAACGGAGACGGGTTGCACAGTACGACCGGCAAGGGTACAATGATCCCTTCAAAATCGACCGATTCAAAACTTTCTTGTCGGGATTGTCGCCTGTTCCGTTCTGCGTTGATCCGACGTCGCAATGTTTTTTGCGACAGGAGGGCATTCGATGGGATACGGAACAAGCGTTCCCAAAACCAAGACACGCGAAGCGGAATCCCGCCATGACCCCAAGAACCTTGGAACTGGTCACTTGCAGAGGCCAGCTGAGGAAACGTTTCCGGGCTAGCGGTCGGACTATATCTAAACTCATTGATGCATCTTGTTGTCATACCGTTTTCAAGGTTTGGGCTGCCAAAGCCGGGTGCCCGTTCGAAGCGCCCGCTGACTTACAACGACGTTTTTGGGATGCCTTTTTTGAGGTATATGCTCAGCGATGCCATTGACCACGTCTCCAGTCAAATCCAGCGGGTGTTTGACGAAGACCTGGCCGCGTACCTGTCGGAGAAAAGTGCGCAGATCGACGATACAGACAAGTATGTTTCGATGCAGAGCATGTACCGCGTCACGCAGCCACTGTACAAGCGAACGCACACATCCACTTCCGCTGTGCAAAACAAGTGGCACGTGTGCCATGGCTCTTGCACAAAAAAGGGGAGGACGAGGAGGAGGAGGTGGAGGAGGAGGGGGGGACAGAGGGCAAGACATCGCCCCTCGGGGCCCAGCAACGGGGCCCAAATCCCAGGTGGGGAGGGGGGGGGAGGTTGTGTGCGTCGCGACGCGGAATAAAGTGCTTGGAGCGAAGGGGGCACGGGGCGGAGGTCCCACTGGGGCGCTGGGGGCGCGGAGAGGAGGGGGGGAGAGGTGGTGTGCGTCGCGACGCGGAATCAAATGGTCAGGGCGGAGGGGGCACTGGGCGGGGCGTTGGGCAGAGGGCCACGGGGCGGGGGTCCAACTGGGGCGCTGGGGACGGCGGGGGGGGGAAGGTGGTGTGCGTCGCGACGCGGATTAAATTGCCGGGGCAGAGGGGGCACGGGGCGGAGCCCCCACTGGGGAGCCGGGGACGCGGGGAGGGAGGTGGGGGAGGTGGTGTGCGTCGCGACGCGGAATAAAGCGTTCGTGGCGGAGGGGGCAGTTGGCGGGGCTCCCGCTGGGGCGCTGGGGACGCGGGGCAGAGAGCCACGGCGCGGGGGTCCCACTCTGGCGCTGGGGACGCGGGGGGGGTGCGACGCGGAATAAAGCGTTCGTGGCGGAGGGGGCAGTGGGCGGGACTCCCGCTGGGGCGCTGGGGACGCGTTTGCTTTTGGCAGAGAGCCACGGCGCGGAGGTCCCACTCTGGCGCAGGGGACGCGGGAGGGGGGGGTGCGACACGGAGCAAGTGGCACGCGTGCTCTGGCTCTTGCACATATGAGGAGAGAAGGAGGAGACGCAGGCGGGGGGACCATGGAGGAGGAGGAGGAGGAAGAGGAGGAGGAGGAGAAGGGGCTGGTGGGGCCAGGGCGTCCCGGTGCTGAATCAGCGGTTGTCGATTGGGACCTGCTCGAATGAGTTTTTGTTGGCAGCTGAGGCGCGATAGATTTTCGAGGCTGGGCCAAGTGGGGAGGCTGGGTCCAGGGACAGGGCCGCGGGGCGAGGGGAGCTGGGGCAACGACCAGGGGGGTAGGCTGGGTCCAGTGCCAGGACCAGGGGGTCGAGGGCGGCCAGGTCGAGCGCGGCCGGGGCCAGGTCTGGGAGGGAGGCTGGCTCCAGGGCCAGAATCAGGACCAGGGGGACGACGACGAACGAGAAGAAAGGGTCCGGCGCGAGGGGGGCTGGGTCCAGGGCCAAGGCCAGGGGTACAGTCAACACGTAGAGTAAGGATGGGCAAACTTCCCAAGGGTACCCTCGCATCCTTGCCTCTTCGGTCTATCCTTGACTACTTCCGTTGGCTGCGCCCGGCTCGGGAAGTTTCGAGATGGACATCCAAGGCCCTTGCATCCTTATCACGCATCCTTACTACTATACGGGTTGACTGTACGACGACGAGCGGAAATGAAGGGTCCAGGGAGAGGGGGGCTGGGGCCAGGGCCAAGGGAGGACGCTGGGTCCAAGGACGCGACCAGGGTGGCCACGACGAGGGGGTCTGGGTCGAGGCCCAAGGTGAAGGCTGGGTCGAAGGTCAGGACCAGGGGGACGACGACAAACGAAAATAAAGGGTTCGGGGCGAGGGGGGCTGGGGCCAGGGCTAGGTGGGGAGGCTGGGTCCGGGGCCAGGTGCCGTGCCGAAATAAAGCGGTCGGGGAGGAGGGGGGGCGTTGGCTGGCGGGGCCAGCGCTGTGCCAAAATCGCGCTCTCAGGGCGGAGGGGGTGCGTTGGCTGGCGGGGCCGGCGCCGAGGGGGCGCTCTGGCTGGCGGGTTGGCTGCGCTGGCTGGCGGGGGAAAGATGCGGAGGGCCGGGGGGCTGTTTCGGCATGGCTGCTTTAGAA